CTGACTTGCTTTGAGATGGCGTTTCTGAGGGTGGTTCTGGTTGTAAGGGAACATAACTTGCTACTTTAAGTAAGAGAAGGGAACATGTTGGGAGGCTGTTGGGGGAATCTCTCTGGATTCAAGAAGAGTTGAGCAGTTAGGGCAAGGGAATGTCAGGGCAGCCCGGGGACTCTCAGCAGCTGAGATTCAAGTGCCTATTGTTCTGGGTGCTCCAGGCAGGTGATTCGTCTAAATGCTGACGGGAGGTGATCTGATTGGCCCTTCCTGCCTCCTCCCATTTAGTCAGTAAACCACAAAAGCAGATGGTGGTACAGGAGCAGCAGGAGTTTATGTAAACAGGCAGGGTAGCCCCCAGCCTCCACAGCCCAGAACTGAGCAGATTGACCCCGGGGGTGGGGTGGGGGGCTATTTCAGTGACCTTGGCCAAGATTCTCCCCCTCACTAGGCTTCAATTTACTTATCCTAGGATGAGGAGTTGCAGTTAGCACCTCATCAGAGGATCATTGTTTCTCAAAGTGGGCCTGCATCATCATTGCTTGGGATGCTTTAAAACAGACTCATGTGCCCCAGGGTGTGCTAGTACATGCTCAACAGCAGGCTCACCCAAACCCCAGAGGGAAGAAAACCTCCGTTTGCAATGTTTGCTCAGTTTCTGTGTGTAAATAAATACTCCCACCGCAGCCACATGTAAGCCAACAGCATGAAGTCACTGAACTTCACGTTGGGAAAGGAGGTGCCCACAGGCTCCAGCACGCCACCCCCAACTGACTGGGAACCTCAGAGGGAGGCCTGGAACTCTGCCTTTTGCCTCCTCTGTGATTCTGCTGCATTACAAAGTTTCAGAATCCCTGCGCTCCGTGAACTCCACTCTGTCATATCACGTGTTCTCACACTGGATTTGTGAATGTTTTCCCTCTTGAGAATCATGAAGCAAGGCCTGGAGAGATCCATGTGCCAAAGCCCAAGTGAATTAGTGGTGCACCCACACAGCCTGTCTGGTGTGAGGAGTCAGATGGGTTAATAGGTAGTCAGGGTGGCCCCAATGGAATTTGGGGTGTAAAATATTCTTCCTCCCTCCTCTCTAGCAAGAACACACAGGCCACCTCCTACCTCAGAATCTCCAAATTTACCATGAGAATAGCAAAGGAGCTCTTCCAGAGCTCACAGCTTGTGGTGAAAATAAGTTGCCTATCCCACCTTCTGGATGATCTTTTGTTTTATCCAAAGCAGGCCAGACAGGATGGAGAACTGTAAATCAAGTCTTTTGATGGGTTTTGTTCTCTCCTGGTAACTGGATGCCAATCTGATTGCCAAGATTTTTTTCCTTGAAATTGTACTTAAAAACCACCATGTGGGCCCCTCATCTTGATAACCTTCTCTATGCAGATGGAGTCTCTCTCTCTCTTTTTAAAATATTTATTTGTTTATTTGTCAGAGGTACAGACACACGCACATACACACACAGATTTTTCATCTGCTCATCTACTCATTCACCCCCTATTTGGTCACACTGGCCATAGCTGGGTCAGGCTGGAGCCAGGAACCAGGAGCTTCATCCAGGTCTCTCACTGGGTGGCAGGGGCCCAAACACTTGGGCCATCTTCCACTGATTTTCCCAGGCCATTAGCAGGGAGCGGGACTGGAAGTGGAGCAGCCGGGACTTGAACTGGCGCTCAAATAGTATGCTGGTATCACAGGCAGGGGCTTCACCCTGCTATGCCAGATGCCATTTCTGTCTTGATCTGCGCTGAAGCAGGGAGAGCCATTATAAAGCTCCCAAAAGTCCCATCAAAAGAGAGCAAGGTGATGCAGAAGCCGAATGGATAGAAGTTGGGGACTGCTGAGAGGCAACTTCAGGTAACTTTCAGGAGAAACCATTTAGGCTCTGAAGTTAGTTAGAAATTAGTTTTGAACTGGAATGGCCCTTGACTTTCTCTCATTCTAGAAGGCAGTGTTTCTGAAACTGTAGGAGTTGGAGTCTTCTGTACTCTGGCTACTTGCTTGCCTACCATGCTCCCCTGGAATTTATGACCTCCTGCCCCCCACCAGCTCCCCTGGGATTTATGGCCCGATGCTTCCAGCCATTCTTCCCCGTGCCATCTCCTTTGTGTGGCCTTCCCACCACATAATGTATATAGCCTTTACATTTAAATGAACCAATGAACATGTTAGGTCCCAATACCTTGCCATATAGAGAATAAGAAGGTAACCTACCTAGGAGATGACCTGCACCCTTGTAAGTGTGAGGCTATAAAAACCTCTCTTATGAGGCCGGCGCCACGGCTCACTAGGCTAATCCTCCGCCTAGCGGCGCCGGCACACTGGGTTCTAGTCCCGGTCGGGGCGCCGGATTCTGTCCCGGTTGCCTGTCTTCCAGGCCAGCTCTCTGCTGTGGCCAGGGAGTGCAGTGGAGGATGGCCCAAGTCCTTGGGCCCTGCACCCCATGGGAGACCAAGAGAAGCACCTGGCTCCTGCCATCGGATCAGCGCGGTGCACCAGCCGCGGCGGCCATTGGAGGGTGTACCAATGGCAAAAGGAAGACCTTTCTCTCTGTCTCTCTCTCTCACTGTCCACTCTGCCTGTCAAAAAAACAAACAAACAAACAAAAAACCAAAAAAAAAAAAAAAAACCTCTCTTATGCAAATGAGAGGGCCTTTTGCCTGTGCACTGCTAAATGGCTGTGTGCGGGTAGGGGGTCCCAGCCTGCTGGTAACAAATAAACCTCTGCTTTTGCATCCAGGACTGTGCCTTGTGCATTGATTGGGAAATTCAGACACAACAAAACTATGGCCTGAACATCACTGGAGAACTTTTAAAACTGCAATTTTTGGGATTAAAATATCTCTGCCTCCTAGAGTCCGTCAGTCATAGCCTGACTCACCAGGATTCCTCCTTCATTTGTGAGGGTTGAGCACTCCTCTGTCAAAAAACAGAAAGAACCTCTCCAATGCTGATGCCCCCGCAGAGTTGCCATGTTGAGCTGTCTCTGCCAAAGGCTGATGTGTGGAGCTGGGACAACAGGAACAGGTCAGGGGTCCTGGGGTAGGGGAAACCACAGGGACAATAGAGATTGTTCTGGTCATCGTAAGGCTGCCACAAAACACCAAACACCAGAGTAAGGGAAAGGTTTCCTGGGAGGGAAGGGTGAAGAAGGAAAATAGGGAAAAGTAGAGCGTGAGAGAGAGAGCGAGCGAGCCACGTGTTCAGGAACAGGTCCTCTTAAAACTTTGCCGAGGGGCGGGCAAGGAAGTAGGATCAGCAAATCTCATGAGGATGGGATGGAGCTGACACCGGTGGTTGGGCCATGTGGTCACCTGGCTCTCAGCCCTGGCGGCAGGGGCTGGGGCCTAGGATGGCATCTGGGGTGTAGATTGCCCCACAGATAAGACTGTGCCATTTTACTAACAGTCATGACTAGTCTTTCTGGGCACCCTACTGGTGCCACCTGGCAGGAGGCTCTGGGCCAGTGTACCTCCTGCCCTTCTGTTCCGGGTCAGACATGTCAGCATGGAAACTCAGCGGTGGACATGTTCTGAGATTGCTGAACTACTGATCCCCCCTTCTGCATGTCTATGCTCTCATCTTTTAGGGCTCAGGCTTTCACCGCTTGTTCTAGATTACGGCCCTGATCAAACCAACCCCTCTTTCTTCCCATTCCACTATGGTCTTTTTGTATCTCTCTCCAATGTGATTCACTCCCTGTGTTGTCTTTCCTGGTGCTTGTGCTCCTGTGCCATGCCTGGGTCCATGGGCCCTGCAGTGGCAGCTGGGAGTCCTCCTTGGCCTCCTCCTTGGCCATCTCCTGGGCAGTGCTCAAAGTCTCCGAGGTGCTCCTAGGGGCTTGTGACTGTGTTTGAAGAGTGTAGCTGAGCTTTCTCTCAGTGACCAGGTAGGGTATTACGGAGAAACTGGACCTGGAGCTGGAGATGGGGGTTGACTACAGACGTGCCTGACTGGCATGTCGTTTTGGTCTGAACGTGGCCTTCCTGAGTGATGTATGAAGTTGGTAGAGCTGGCATAGGCCGTGGAGAAGAACATGGAATTGGGCTGGAGGGGACTATGCCTCATGCAGCTGGAACCATTCCTGAGGCTCCAACTTTAGGTAAGAGCAGCTGTTTGTGGTTGTGCCTTTCAGTATGTGTGTGTGTGTGTGTGTGTGTGTGTGTCTGTCTTTACTTATATGTCTACAAGGGTTCCCATGTATATCTGCCTAGAGTCATCTTTCATCTCACACCTGTGGGGCCATAGACAAGTCATTCAAACCACCTGACTTCATTGTCCTTGTCTGTATCATAGGAATAATAATTTCTGCAAAAGCTACTTTGGTGGCAAAATACAACCATACACATGAGCCTCTTAGCGCAATTTCTGGTGTTTATGTGTGAGGGTACTGTTCCCCGATGGCTTGTGCACGTTACTGAATGAACCTCCCTTGTGCCTGTTTCCCCATGTGTCAAATGGGGCTAACATCAGAAGGAAGAGTTGATGTGAGCACTAGGCAAACTGACACCTGTGAAGTGCGGTAAACACACTAATGGTTGAGGTGCTTATTCGAATGTGTTGGGGTGAGAGTCTCTGAGCTTGTGAATTTCTCTGGGCATCCCTCTGCTGGTGTGTGTATACACGTGTGTGTGTGTGCATATGCTTGTATGGCCAGCAAGGCCTCCTCTCTCTGGGTGGAGTTTGCTGTTGGCCCAAGCCTGGACTCCCTGAGCCAGCCAGGGCCGGCGCCGGGGATGGAATTTCCATTAAGAATTAAGCAGGACAAGCACTGGGAAGCCAGGCAGCAGGGAAGAGGGGGTCGATGGGAAGAATGCTTCCAGACTGCACTCCCTCAGGCAGCCTCGCTCCTGAGCTGCCTTGGAGAAGGCTTCTGGCAGCTTTCTTTTGAGTCCCAGGCCGTCCAGGGGCCATGGCCCAGGAGCATGGGCAGGGAGAGAGGAACTGTGCACAGGGGCTTCTGTAAGGAGACTTGGAGTTGCCGTGCTAAGACTGGAGCCATGCGGCGGCCCCCTGGGAATGCAGAGGCAGCCAGCAAGGGTCCAGGTGGCTGGGGCCTATGGGGAGTCCAGGTGCCCAGGAGGCTGTGTTGTGCTGTACGTATCTGGGAAGGTGGATGTGTGCATGCGTGTTCGGGGGAATGGGGTGGGGGAGGGGAGAACTCAAGCCGAGTACTCCAGGGGGAACATCGAGCTGACTAAGTCTGCCCCTCTCTTGTCCTGAAATCCAGGCACAGAAGTTGGACCTGGAAATAAAATACCTCTGAGGCTTTTGGCTAACATGGATGCTGTTTCTGCTGCAAGCCTCATTCTATTTCTAGCATATTAAAAATGCCTTAGCTTTCCAGGTCCTTTTTTTTTTTAAATCCCTGGCCTCATTTCCTATTTTCAACAACCTTATGAGCTAGGCAGAGATTATTAAGGGAGAACTGAAACTCAGAGAGGTAAAGTGACTTGTTCAAGGACACACAGCTAGAAAGCAGTAGAGGCAGGATGCAGAGCTGGGTCCCTCTGAGCAAGCTCCTGGCTACTTTTTATCATTCCACGTGACCTGCCAGAAAGAAAGTCAAAGAGGAGATTCTGCAAACCTTGCCAATCTGAGGCCGGCATGGCTCCGTGGTAAAGCCTGTCAGGTGTCTGACCGGAGGCCTTTGTTGAGACAGAGACTGAAGCTTCTCTCCAGAAACTAGGGAGTGAAATCCGGCCCTGGCTGGCTGCAGGCTGGAGTCAAAGCCGGCTTCTCTGAGCAGAATGGCTTGGCCACCTCCCCAGCCTTGGGCCCCTTGACAGCTGAGGCAGGTGAGTTAATGCCAGGAGCTGCCGAGAGTTCAAGGACAGGGCACAAGAGTCTTTTTCAGCCACAGCCTGGAAAAGAGACCAGGGCGTATTAGTGTGAAGGAGGAGCAAGCCGCAATGGGACCGCGGAATGGTCATGTGTCATGGGAATTGATTAATCCCCCCCATACACCCTGTGAGCAGACTGACATCGACTGCGCATGAGGGATTCAGGTTAGAGGCCAGAGAGAACTTCCTGCAATGGGAGAGCTCCAGCTTTGGAATGCCGTCCAAGAGAGGCCACAGGCCGCCTTTTCTTGATGATTCCCGAGCACAGAGGCCCCCCAGGCCCCCGAGAAATCGTGGCAGGGTGGAGTGACTTCAAAGCTTCCTCCAGTTCAGAAACGCAGTCTTTCTGAGTTTGTGGTTGAGATCGCCGTTAGACACTGAGGCCAGGGCGAGGGGCGGCAGAAGCAGTCGCCGCGGCCCAGATGACCTGCGTGGGTGCCTTGGGTTCGGAAGGGAAGCACCTGTAGTGTGCAAACCACGTCGCCTTCCCGGCGTTTGGGGGCTGCTCACAGGCGGCTCCCTCGGCACAGCTGTGAACTGTGCCCAAACCCCTCCTCCTTTCGTTTCACTTCACCGCGCATTCCCTGCCCCTCTCCAGATGCTGGCACACGGGGCACATGTGGGCGCCCCCACCGGGACGGCCCCGCGGCTCCCGGGTGACTCCCGCCGGGCCCTAGGGGGAGCCAGGTCCCTAATGAGGCCCGCCCGCTGCCCCACGCCGCCAGCGTCCCCTCACAGGAGCGCGCTAGGATTCCCTGTCGGGGGCGCCCCCTCCGCGTCGCCCTCGTGGCCCAGCCTGGAGTCGCCTGCAGCCCGGGCGACGCGGGACAGAGGCTTGGCAGGGAGCGCGCTGGTGGGGAAAGGCCTCGGAGCCGGCGGGGGGAGAGCGGGGCGGGGGCGGGGGCGGGGGGCAGCGGCCGGCCCTCGGGTTGGGCCGGCCCGGCGGCGGCGGCGCTGGCGGCCACTCCGCGCCGCGGCCTCGGGAGCTCCAGCTGTGCGCCGCCACCGCGGGCTGCTCACAAGCGCCGCCGCCGGGTGAGTGAGTCGACCCGCCCGGCCGGCTGGTAGGAGTCAGGGGCTGGCGCTGGGGCTGCCAACCTGGCTGGGGGCTGGGCAGGCTCGTGACTATTTGGAAAGTAGGTGTGAGTGGGTCAGGGTGGGCGCTTGTGAGGGCGAGTGTGCCGGTGGAAGGGAGCGGGCCTGGGCTGGAGTGGCAACTTGTGGAATTTTCTAGCATATGGTCCGGGGTGTGAGTGTGTCTGTGTCAGTGTGTGGTTGTCTGGAGTGTGCCCACAGGTGGCTGTGTGTCTGGTGGCACCTGTTGCCCTGGGTGGGCCGTGCCTGCCCGCCCCGTGGAGGGGCATTCTTGTATAGGGCAGGGAGGCCAGCATCCTTCCACCCACAGCGGATGCCTGCACACATGAGGGTGCTAGCTGTGTGAGTGAGTCCCTGAAGGCCGAAGCTGGGGGATAAGGGGCGTCATCTGAACCCACACTTTCTAGGATGTCCTGACTTGCCCTGCTGGGGCAGCTTCCATGTAGGTCAGGAAGCTTTAGTTTCTCAGGGCGGGACGGCTGTTCCCAGCCTTTCCTCAACCCAGCAGTGAATGAGGCTCTCTTTGAGGCCAGGGTTGGGGAGACTGCTTGGGGGGATCCCATTCACATGCCCGAAGAAGGGCAAGGGGGTGAGCCCCCAAGCAGTCACCTGCACACACGCACTGTGCATGCACACCTACACACTTGCAGCTTCTCACGCGGAGGAAATAAATCTTTGCTGCCCACCCATGCTGGTCTTGAGCACACAGCCTCCCAAGACACCCATGCAAACATGACCAACATGTACACCTGTGGAACACATGCATACAACACATATGCATTTGTAAAATGCATGGGTACAGACTTGTGACCCTGGCTTGGTCCTACACATCTCCCTCTATCCCCTTTCCTCTTTACTGCCCTGTATCCTGCATATAGCATCTCTGACAATGGGTCCATGAACCTGGCCCACTAGGGAGTATCTAAAGTCAGGGGCTTGGCTGGGGTGTCGGGGCAGGTGGTGACACGACACCACTGAGGTGACCCATGCCATGTGGAGCTGAGGCTGCCCATGGAGCTCAGCCAGAGAGCCTCCTTGGGCCTCAAGGCCTGGGTCTTAGAAGCAGCATCCGCCCTTTTAGAGGCAAAAAGACCAGTTTCACAAGGCGAGCCGGCCAGGCTAGGGGGTCTGTGGTGCAGCTCAGCACCTGTCATTTGTTCTGGATGCCCCCGGCAGCAAGAGAGCAGTGAGGTGGCTGGGGCCTGGGACAACTCTCAGACAGGGAGGAGCAGGGAGTTGAGCTGCGCTGTTTCCCTTCTTTCTTCAGAATCAACCCACCCGAGTTGGTGTCTCCCACCTGCGGCTGGGGGAGGCATCTTTGCTCTGCTTCTCTCCCCTCTCTCTGTCGTTTTCTCTTTGCTTGACAGAACCTGCTTCCCGTGGGAACCACTGGAGGTCCCACAGCTCCCAGATGCTAGCTGCTGATGTTAGTGCTATGATGGCTTCCGACGTCTCCCATCTTGGCCATTCTCTTCTGTACAGGCTTCCGTGAGGTGCCCAGACTCTGTCAATTGGGAAGTTAGAAAAATGATACTTTCTGCTTTAGACTTTGTGGTTTGGTCTGAGGGATGCCTGAGCTCTCCCGTACCAACTCCATTGCTATGCAGGGGAGCAAGTTGGATTCATTCATATCCTGAGGTGGGTGCCAAGCTCTGTGTTCCCCTCAGGCTCATCCTAGGCCTGCCCCTTAAAGGTGGTTGAATCAGGGCAGGTGTTAGTCCAGCAGGCTTCCTGCAGAGTAGTGGTGGTGGAAGAGGGAAGTATTTCTCTGTTTCCCTTTTCACGCTGGCTGCTAAGAGATTCTTAGTCCATCATCTTGCCCTGTTCTAGTAACTGTGTTAGTTGGAGCCAGTGCTTTTTCAATTTCTGTTTTAATAGCTTTATAGAATATGCATTTTTAATGAATGAATTTTGATGAATTCCTACATCTTTTATAGAAAGAGATCAGACTAGTAAGTGACTGACCAATAATAAAGGTTCTGTTGGTCTCTGAGGATGGGAGCCCTATGGCAAGAATTTTGGGGGTAGCCCAAATTTCAAATACTCCATCTGGTTTTCAAACCATATGTCTCAATTTTGGCTTCTGTGTCTGTGGACTTTGATTTGCGACAGTGTCTTGGGGCTTTTCTTCCTAGTGGCTCTGCCAGAGAATGCCCATCTCTGTGCTGGCTCAGACAATGGGGATTGTTGAGAATGAATTGGGCCATTGATCGACACCCTCTGGTCTGAGTGCTTCAGCTGCCAGCCCCTCCCTGGCTCAAAAGCTCGAGTGTCTGGGTGCCCCAAGGAGTTTGACCCTTGCCCTAAGTCTGGCCCTTGCCCCATGGCCGCCCCTTCCTCATGTGCCTTGCCTCGCCCTTGCAGAGGCCAGGAGATCTGTGTCTTTTGGCTCTGAGCTCTCCCTGCCCCTGCCTGGACTTCAGCAAGTCTGATCTCGGGTGGCTGTCCTGGAACTTGAGCTTGGGATCAGGTGCTTGGAGTGTAGGTGGGCACTTGGGATGAGACGCTTGGGTCAATGGGTGTTTTCTGCCTCTCCCCTGGGCCTGTGAGGCCATCAGGGATCTCAGGTCACTGAGTGGCCAGGGGATCATTGGTTACCTCTTACGAGCAGAGGTGCACCTTGTCTGGTTGCAGGGCAGGCTCTAGCCACCTTGTACATTTGGTGAAACTTCTAACTCATTTGCCCCTGGACTCCTTACTTTACCCTGCCCAGGGTCCTTGTGGATGTTTGGGCAAAGCAACACTGGAGAGCTGTGCTTAGCTGCCAAGAATGATTAGAACAACAGAGGTGGGGGCTTTCAGACTGCATGCTGGCATCCTGCTTCTCAGTATGTGTTAACTCAACCCAAGCCAGTGGCTGTTGCTCATGTTCAAGACTAATCCTCCCTGAAGCATTTGATCAAAAAACAGGAAAGCCCTGTGGCCCGGTGCAGTTGGTTCTCCATATCCATGGTTTCTACATCTGTGAATTCAACCAAAGACAGATGGAAAATAATTCAGAAGAAAATTGTGCCTGTGCTGAACATGCATGGACTTTTTTTTCCTTGTGGTTAATCCCCGAACAGCACAGAGTAACAGTTATTTCCGTGGCACCACATTGTGTTTGGGATTATAAATAATCTGGGACTTAAACGTTTACAGGAGGATGTGTATAGGTAGGCTAGATGCAAAACCAGCATCATTGCATTAAAGGGACTTGAGGATCTGAAGATGCTGGTGTCTGTGGGGCGTCCTGGACACAATTGCCACAGACGCTGAGGGACCAGTCAGTGTCAGTGTGTTGGGCAGTTTGTTGGTGGCTTGTTAAAGGTCGGGGGTTTGTGCTTTCCCAGAAAAGTGTCATCTCCAAAGGTTAGCTCAAAGCTTGAGTGCATCTCTGCTGAGGCCCCAGGCTGTTTAAGCTCTGGATGTTGCATGCACTTGAAAATCAACCAGTGAAAACAGGCTGAGCATCCGGCAAGAGAGCATCATGTGAGACGCTCAGTACCTCCGTGGGCGGGGTGGGGGGTGGGTGAGTGTGGCTCATTCACGTCTAGTTGCTGTCTCCTGAAGGCCAGCTCCCTTTTTAGGATCTTTGCATCTTTTGTTTCACAAAAGCTTTCCACCAGTCCCGTGTGACGTAGGTGCCCCTGTTTTAAAAATAAAGGAACGGAAGTGCAGTGAGGTTAAATGAACAGGCATCAGAGCTGGCAAGGTCTTCTGACTCCAGAACCTGTAAGTGAGTGTCCACTGACCGCTGGGGGTGGGGTGGGGAGGGCAGGAAGTCTGCGATTTCAAAAGTTTCCAAAGCACGAAGAGCCATGCTTCTGGGTAAACTGAGGAAAAGATGAAGGGCCTGCCCTCTGTGTCTAACACCACTTCCAGAACGCGGTCATTTCCAGCCCTGGTTGGAGGTGGTGGTTCTGTGGGAGCAGTGGTAGGAGGTGGAGTGGGAAGCCCTCCTGGGTTGGGGCAGCACCCGACTCCCATGGCTTCACTTCTCCCCCGGAGCAATCTCCGTCCTGGTACTCGGGCCTCTACCCAGCCTCTGTGCCGTGCCAAGCTCTGGGGGAGTGCTGGATCCTTTGAGGACGTCTCTGGGCAGCCCAGACCCCGTGGAGCGGGATGCAGAGTCTGTGGGCGTCAGCAGTTTGGCTGGGTGGTTGTGTATAGTGTTCACTCTCTGCTGGAGAAGTGGAGGTTTTGTCTTACAAACCAAATATCCTGGTTTGGAAGCCCTGTGGAACGGGGCCTGTGGTCTGAGGCTGAGAGCTGCCCTGTGGGGCTGTGTGTGGTACTGGTTGGAAAGGTAGTGTTGAGGGTCAAAGCAGCCAGCTCCGGCCCTCTCCCTTCTGTCGGCTGGTCAGAGGCCGGCAGTAAACACTGGCCCTGTGCAGAGAAATCCGCTTTAGACAGATCTGACTTGGAGCTCAGTTTCCTCATCTGTGAAGTTCCTGTGATTCAGTGTGATGTGATGCTAGAAGCGCTCTATCAGAATGTCTAGAAACTCCATCAGATACATGCTGTCAGGCATGGCATAGACAAACCATAAAAGACGATATCCTTGCTTCCTGTCCCTGTGAAAGAACACCGCACTGCTGGGGAGAGGTTGTATTCTGGCTCTACTTGTTTTTGGCACCCTGTGTTACCTGGGGTTCAGTAACTAACCCTCTCTGTGTCTCCCTTTCCATGTGCATAAAATGAGACAAGAACTAGTGTCCCTCACTGCCCTGTAGTTTTTGAAGATAATGAAAGTCAGGGGCTCTCTTGAAAGCTTAAGTAAGTTCAGTCCCTCTTGATTCATTTCCTTACACCCCCAGTGTTAATTGAGATCCCTTGATGTGCTAGGACCCTGGGTAAGGCACTGGGGAAAGAAGGGAGAAGGAAAAATCCCAGTTCTCAAGCAGCAGTGAGACCATGTGGCAGAGAGACCAGTAAATAAACAAGAGCCTGTTTGTAGG